CGTTTATCAGCGCTCACCAGTTTAAAAAGCAATTTAAAAACACAGTTGATTTTATGCAGTTGGTGAGGGCAACTCTTTATACCATTTGGAGATATTATCGGCCTTTCGATAACCTACAAAATGTATATGTTAATGTTCCATATTTTCTATGAATTGTATCTCTAGTGTCGATGCACCTTTTTATAGTATACACATAGGTTGGATATTGAAATTTAAATTATTCTATTTTTTTATTTTCATTTACCTATATAAAACGTTGCCCCACACTAAGGTTTTCTCCTGTGTCGTGGGTGTGTTTACAAACATTCAATTTCTCACACATATCACACCCAGACCGAAACAATAATTTGTGGATTACACAAAGTGTTGTTCCAGGAATCAAACACGCGACACGTTGCTCGGCAGCCAGTTGCGGCAACCGTGCAGTCAATTTATTTTTATCTAAACTTTAATTATGTGAGATAAGGCCATTAACGGAAAACTATTATATATATATCATCAAAGTACGATACTTTGATGATATAGTTTTCCGTTTGATACTTACTGGAACTTGTTAAATTATCAAAAACACTTGACTGTGAATCCCATTTAAAGGTGATAACCATGGAGTTTCTTGCTCATTCTTCTTAGGAATCTACACTTTGGAACGAGCAAAACAGCTACACTAGAGGACTGACCCATACTTTGACACTTTTTATCTTTAAATCTTTTGTATGACGTTCAAAAGCGCCTTTGAAAGATTAGACTTGATTTTGAATGTCTATTTTAAGAGCAAATCAAATCAAACTTAGTCACTAATTCGCTATAACCATCGACAAAATAATATACATCAATCTATCCATAAAATTAATCTTGTAAACCTATAAATAAAGCATTTGTCAAAGGAATCTGGCCACAGTATCAAGGGAGCCATACCTATCTTAGAAGCCAGAGGTAATATCGACAGAGGGTCCCTGGATTCCGGGGCGGTGCCGCGTTCCCGGAATGTCTCATATTGGAATCTGTCCCGGACTTGGTAGCAACAAAGTTGCGTTTTTCCAAAGCGCTCCTTTGTCTATTATTAAAGTCTCACTGGAATATCTTCGAACTCGTTTATAGGAATTTAATAAGTACTGCTGATGGAAGTTGGTTTTTTATAGCACTAAGTTGCTGACCTCTTTATTATAGTATAATGAAGTATGGTTTTATAAATGGATCGTACTTATCATAGAGATTGCCAGCTGTTTAAACAGAAAATTTAGTTTGAGAATTCAATTGATCAAAGTATCTACAAAAAGTTTTATAGGGATTGATTGTACAATATCTATTGCATATTTTCATTGCCTTTTTATGGATAGGACGGCAAACGAGCAGATGGATTGCCTGATGTTTTTTTTTCATGTAATTGGTCGGCTAACGAGCAGACGGATTACCTGATGGTAAGCAATCACATTATTACGTTTTCGGCTTACTCACGTAATAAGACGAGATACTCGACTAGTTCCACACGCGACGCGGCGACTGTCGCGCTGCTACAGTCGCCGCTTCGCGCGTATGTGTCGCGGAATGCTGCTCATAAATATGGGTCTCTAGCATGGCTTGAAACTAGTCGAGTATCTCGTCAAATTATTACGTGAGTAAGCCGAAAACATAATAATGAAATGCTTATATCGTCCTCGGTGTAATTGTCAGTCATCCCGAAACCCCTTACCTTATCTCTTCGTTTGAATATATTAATTTTTTTTACTGTCGTCAGCGTCTGGCCTTTATCTCACACACGAACACGCTTACTTGTAAGTAACCTATTCACTTGATTGAAGACACCCAGGTTATAAGGAACCATTACTCCCACAAAGAATTTCAGTCCTTAGCAGATCAGATTAAAAAAATCTAGAGGCGCTTCACGTGTGTGAGTGGAGTTTTCACCATAAAATGGTGACAATTTGCTGATTGGACGGTGTAACGATGATAGAAAACCACAGGGGAAATCAAGAAGGCGGATACCGTTTACTCACATATTGCAGCAAAACAGTGAATGGTTGCAGATGTATATAGTCTTATTAAGACTATATACATCTAGCTAAACAAACCATGATAAACTGGTGCTATATAGCCTGATGTTTAATTTGTAGGTTCATATTATTTCTATAAGCAAATAAAACCAATGATCGCGATAAATAGATTTATTTTACATGAAACAGATTGTCACATATATCATTAGATACTTAAGTATTTCGTTATTTACACAATACAATTATATTGTCATAAAAACATTTAATAAAAATTGACTAGAGTTCGTAATTTATCTACAAAATTTATTTACAAAATGTAAGCTCCGAATTAACGTCGATATTACACATCAGTCCGACTATATAGTTAGGTATTTACATGTTTATATATTTACTAATAAAATTTATAATTTTCGCTTATTATGTCTTATTACAGTCTATCCTTATATTCAGGTAATAATCGAAATTATTAAGAGCTTCGTGTCGCTTACAATCCATTAGAAATGAGACTGAGTTCCATTAAATAAGCGAAGGCTCTGTAAACGGATAAGACTGCTTAACGTCATTAATACAACGAACACTTTGTGCCTTGAAAGTCGTATCAAAAATGTAACATTAAAATCTTCTCAGGATAATTCTCGAAGGCCATGATTACACTTTTCAAAGTAACCAACCATAATCGAAGCAGGATCTTAACATAATTAGCGAAAATTAGACATTTTATCCCACCTTTACCTATCCCTTCAGGGAAGAGGGGTGATGTTAAATTAACTATTATCTTCCACATAGTTGACTAGCTACTTTTAACAGCTATTAGCCGTGTATTCATTACTAGGTAACTTTGTTATTAATGCAATTAACACGTTAAACAAAATGGCTTCTCGAAGATGTGTTTACATGCACGTTAGGCTTGGCCATTTATTATCAGATTATGAGATATTTATTGAATAAAGTTACTACTTTATTCAATGAATATCTGCAATTTACGCTTAGGAGTTTTTTAGCATTCAGCGACAAACGAGTATGTATGTCGCTTAATGGTAAACAATTGGCGTGACGCCTTTGGACATCTGCTGGGCGATGCCTATCAAACGCCAACACCAAAGGAGTTACGAGTGCGTTTTCGACTCTACAGGATAAGGGATTTGGTGTTCATCGACAATAAGTAGTAAACGCAAAATATAAAGACATAAACTAATGAAAAAATGTGATAAATCGAAACACAATAGAAGAACTAAATGTGCGCGAACGCCGGCGCTCGCGTCGTTTTTGATGAATTGCATAGTGTTTTTGTAATGAACACACGGCTACAAAAAATTACAAACGAACCTTATCGATTGAAGACGATGAAATATTAACCATTGGTATACATATGTTATATGAACTGTTTAGTTATATTAAATAGGTTTAACACTTGATATTATGCTTATTATATTATATGTGGAAAATTATTCCAGTAGGTACTATTCATACGGACACCATAATTGCACGATCAATTCTGCAACCGCAAAGCAAGAAAGATAGCCGCCAAGACATTTTTAATAGCACCTCCAGATACTATGAACTATGAACCAAATGGCACTTAAGTACTTGTCCATTCAGAAAATACAAAATTCAAAGTAGGTGCTTGACTTACAGTTATAGATTTTACGCTAGTATCCTGTAAGGCCTTGGTTACACTCTCGAAGAAAGGTGGCTGTTTTTTTTTCGAAATGTTTCATACAATTATTGTTATTAATTATATTGGTAGCACGGTCCTTAGAAGCAGTTGGATCGTTTAAAAATGCCTCTAAATATTATTTTCTTTTATATCAGAGACGATTACAAATACATTGAGTTTTCTCGTATCTTTAAATATAAGCCATAAATGTCATCTGGCTCATAGAACAAGTGACATACCCCCACCATACAATAATCTATTTCTTGGTCATGCGACTATGGTGTTCTAATAAAATAGGGTTTTCTAAGTAGATAAGTATTAGCAAAATGGTAATACAAGTAACAGGGAACGTTGCCTAGTTCTCGACAATTTTATTGGAATAGTAATCAATCATCGTTGAGCTCAACGAAACCAATATTGGAATAAAACCATCGACAAAGTTTCGTACAGCGAATAAATAAAAAAGTTTTAATTCCTAACAGGCCAATTCCGAGTTTTATAGCACGTCGACTACGTTGAATTAATCTTAAAAATATAATGTTTTCAAGTCTTATAAAATAATAATAATGCTTAAAAACTTCTTGCATATTCATAGACATTAATAGTGTTGTGTACATGTCTTCTCCGGATTGATAACTTGTAAGTAAATAATTAATTGTACGTTGCCGAGTTGGCAACTACGATAAAAATATGTAGATACAATACACATAAAAAAGTTAAAATTAATACAAGTCCAAAAAACTCAGTTCCAAAAAGCATTAAGTACAAAATCATTCGTTGTAAAATAAGTCTTAAAATCTTGACACTATTATTAGGCAGTGATTTGTTTGGCACATCATGAGGAGAATCTGTTTTGGCAGGTGATATACCAGTAGTATGTTAGGGATTGTGATTTTCAAAGATCATCGAGATTGCTGAAAAACGATAAATATAAAATTGATGTTTAACATCAATAGTCTTACTAAATTATTAGAGACCGACGACAGTTTTAAATTACGTAAGTATAAAACATTTTCCACTTCGGATGGCGCTAGTGTCGCAAATGGGCTACCGATTGGTGTAGACTGTGACAGTCATGGATTTGACAGATCTTAAAGAGATTATGGCGCCAACCAAAGAACTCTTGTTTAAAAAATGTTTAAGAAATTCTAAAGAAAAGTAAAACGTCATTATCAATTGTAAGATCGCTTGACGATCCTTACACATAGTTCCATTTTTATGCTTTCTAGAATGTGCGATGCAGGTCGTAGATGAAAATTGTCTCAGGACTGTAGTAGAAAGTAGCCATGTCTAAGTTCCTGGAAGTATGAGCCATTATAGCTAAGTTTCAATGGCTTACGATATGGTAGGTGTCACTGAGCAGGATAGCAAGCTGACTGCGCGCTAGCTGTGTTCATGATGTGTGCGGGGCGACAGCGAGCCAGGACCTGATTCCGCACTGGAGTCGCCCGCGTACACTTCAGATAAGCCGCCACCACTGCCGCATCCGCCACCGCTTCCGCTGCCGCCTCCGCTCCCGCCTGCACCAAGCATACTTGCTGACAGCGCACCCTTAGCTAAGGAAAAGACAACAATACTAATGTTTGGAACAGTCAACTATGCATATCTAAAAGGGGCGTTCATAATCTACGTAGTTCTAATAATTTTTAAAGGAAATGCTAGGGACGACGATGATTTATTGCAATTTAAATTGATTCAAAGTTTAAAACAAATACTTTGACACCTATAGTCAGAATTTTAATTCGATTCCTGATTTGACATGACATATGGTCATTTTGTGAAGCAATGATACCACATATAACAGTGTAGTGATGAACACAAAAATCGATAAACATTCAGTGAATCAGTTTCAGGAAGGCATTCAAAAATTACGGCTACCGAATAGTCTAAATGCGTGTCCCATGTTGTCAAAGAAGAGGAAAAAATGAGTAAGCTAGATATGTTAATTGACAATAAATATCACAGACACAATTCATAATAAATCTTACAGAAAGTAACAGCGATAGCGATAGCGATGACGGCGACAATTTATAAAATGTCTGTTTTATTTGTCATGTTCCTTCATGATCACATCTTTTATTAATTTCACACACAATTACAAAAGAAAAGTCTCAGATCGTTAATTAATTGTCAAAACTAAATTATCGGTTCAGAAATATTTTATTTCCCGAAAAATTTAGTTTACGAGACAAAATTAACAAACGAGAGAAATCGATTCAGAAATATTCGATTTCCATATCGAATAATTTCGCAACGTCACTATTTAATACGTCTCATAACGTTGCAACACTGAAATTGTCAAATCTGGAATGGAATTAAAATTCCGAGTATAGCTTTTAGGGGGTATATGTTCAGTATTGGTTGAATTGTGGCAAGTGGCTACTGTGATGATGTTCTTTTGTTGTTTTTGATCTAACTTCTTCTGGGTCGGTGTGTTACTTCAGTATACACCGATACTCAAATAAATCACAATATTGAATAAATAGATATTGTTATAAAAGCCTACATTTAATTGACCAATAGTTGCAGCAATTACTAGATCACTAGGCACAGCTCAAATTCAATGGTATCAAAATTGAACAAAATTGTATCTTATCTTACCTAACCAATGTGTTACAGGGAAATAATAAGAAAATCAGGACGGTGTAAAGATTTCTAGTAGAAACTTCCAACATCTACATACGATCTAAAAAAGGTTTTCTAAGAAAAGGTATACAAATATGTAGGTACAGTCGTAATCCTTTTCCTAATTCCAAGAAAGTACCGTTGAATTTTCGAAGCAATCTTTTATCACACCAACTGTGGTTGTTAGTCTTTTTTGTCGATACTAGCTTATGTTGGCAGCTTTACTCGGAATGAACAGTAGTACAGGTGTTATTCCAGACTATAATAATCTATCTCTATGCGAAATTTTATCACGACGGCTTACATACAAAAACATGTATCCTTATATTCGAGCATTATTTTGGGGCATTTTGACACCAGTGAGATTCGTCTGGCCAGCTCTTTGAAGCAAGCACATTATTGAAATTTGGGTATTTTTGGGATGAGCTGACAAACAGCGCCTTCCATGGACATTCGTAATAATGGAGAAGTTAAAGAAAGAAGAAAGAAAGAAACATTTATTCACATAGAACACAGGTGTTACCAGATATAATAGTGGTGTGCAGTTCAGGCTGTATTCTGCCTACGTTAGGCATGCAAATATTTTATAAACTAATACAATTTCAAATTATATTCTATTATAACAAACAAAGTTAACATTTATTATTATTAGATATTATTTATCACACAAATAATCACATTCATTAATCTTACATTTCATAAATTCTTCTATTGTATAAAAGCATTTTTCTATCAGCCATTGCTTAAGCTTTATTTTAAAATATTTGAATGGTAGTTCCCTTAAATTCTTAGGTAATTTATTAAAGACCGATATGCACATATGATATACATTCTTTTTATTCAGAGTAGTTCTACAAAAGGGAACCATTATTTTCGAGGGATCTCTTGGTCTGTATTTAGAAAATATAATTACTTTTTTAAATTTAAAGGGGATCCCTTTAAATTTAAAAAAGTAATTATATTTTCTTACAAATATCGATACTTCCAGAACATACATGCCAGTTAACGTTAGTAATTTTAGTTTTTTAAATAAAGGTTTACAGGAGTCAAGTGGACTTCCCCCACAGACAGCTCGTAAACATTTTTTTTGTGCAATGAACGCTTGTTGAACGTCTGTCGAATTTCCCCATATTATCAACCCATATCTGAGTATTGATTCTACATATCCTTTGTACGCTATTCCTGCAGTTTTTTCGTCTGTCACGGTACGAAGCTTCCTAATTGCATAGACAAAAATAGTTGTAAACGTGTTTGACGATAAACGATGATAACGATCTGGGGTTTGAAGATTAGGGCAATGAAAGATAGGAGAAGTGGGTAAGATTTGGGTCTCCAGTAACGTCTCTCACACGATGAAACACAAGGCAAGTATATCATGCATGTTTACTGTGAGGTAACGGTTGTTGTATTAATCCAGCCAAACTGGCCCATTCTTTATATCATCACTAAAAGTCTTTTTTTGTCAGGGGAAAATTATCGAATGACTTCTCCCGCCCAGGTTAAGGCAAGAGAGAGTGTCAGACTCTTACTGACTAAAAAATCCCAAGTTCCTTCTCCTTCTCTGGGCCGAGGCCGCGGTGACTCATTGCGCTTAACCCGCAACCCTGGCTGATCACTAAAAGTCTGATATATGTATTTTATTGCTTTGGACTAATTATGAAACAAAAAGTTTGCAATTACCGTGATGGGCTAGCGGTACGCAGTACGATGTTGGTGCGCAATGTCTCGGTCGCACCTTCTCGTACCGACTCAGCTGCTGCAGCTCACACTCCGAGTGGTGTTTCTCCACTGTTACACATACCAAACTATTCAACAGACAATATTTATTCGCTATCATTCTATTGTCATCTACAAAACATAGACACAAACACAGATGAAGTCGATCTGAAAAGAAACTTGATGAGTGATGACCTCCACACGAAATTGAACCTTAAGTAAAAGATTTCGCAACGAATTCTTCAACTGTGGTAGGTATTTCTAATCTGTGTGCCACTAAACACGGATTACAGTGTTTAACTATGTCAAAACCGTCCGCCAAAGATTCTCGTCACAAAGGTAAAATGGATTTGGATTTCAGGAGACGCTTCTGTGCAAAATCCGAAACATTCGACTTCTTTTTGGTCGAATACTTTTCTCCAAATCTTTTCTCTTCGCATTTAATTTGACAATAATTTATTATATTTTAAATTAATATTAATATTCGATGTATGAGGACGGACTATATTGGAGTATTTACGAACAAAAGATTTATATAATCTTATTTATTTCACTCGCCAAATTAACTAGCAGAGTTTAATCAACTATATTATATTCGAGTAATCCGATTTCGTTACGAAAGTGTAAAGAGAATAAGTTAATACTTAAAATTCTGAATTACAGAAACCCGAATTACTAAATGAAGAAGATCAGTGGAAAGTCTAGGCTTTGAGTATTTTTTTTTTGTAAGCTAACCACCTACGCACCAACTAGATTAGAACTAGATTAGATACCAGAAATCCTAAATCTATATTGAGCAATAATCATTGCTCAATTTGTTTTAATTTTCGATATAACTGATGAAATCGATGGGTGATCTGAAAAAGACTGCATGATCATTTTACAATGATACAAAGTAACCTTCTGACTGCTCAAAAATAAAATGTGCTCTGAAAGTTGTACTACGGTAAATAAAACGTCATCAAAGAATCCTTTAGTTTATTGACTTTAAAGAATAAAGATAACAAACCAAAGAATTTTATTATAGACTAGCTAGCTATTCTCGCGCGGTTTCACCCGCTGCTCAGCTCCATTTAATCGTACCGTGATGTTTTATAGCCTATAACACTCAGGAACATTGTAGCTATCTACCAGTGAAAGAATTTTGGCAATCCGACCAGCGGTTCCAAAGATTACCCCTACATACAAACTTATTTTACCTCTTTGTAATATTAGTATAGAAATAGCGACCCGTTTCTGCGTCGCAAAGATGCAATGCTGATACTCCACTATTTAATAGATGGCATTATACATATAGGTATACACCTCCCTCATCAATCACTAAATTCGATCTATTAAAAGGAACCGCATCAAAATCCGTTCCGTACTTTTAAAGTTTAAGCATACATAGAGACAAAGAAAGCGACTTTGTTTTATACTATGTAGTGATTTATCTACCTTTAATCATCGCAAATTTTTTGGTTGGCGTCTTTACATGACTGTTAGCAGTAAGAAGGTTAAATGATATCGCTCAAATTAAATTAATAATTATTTTTTAGTTGATTAGTATAGCAATTTTCTCTTTCCCTCACCTTCAGCTCTTTCCCGATGTCTTTGTGGGTGTTTCCTGCACGGTCGATGTGGGGGTGCGTCATTGTCCCGGTGGCCGAAAGTTCGGAACTGCAACGTGTGGTCCAAAGTTGCGGCCGCAGCTGCCTCACCCCCCACAGCAAATGTGGCGTACGGACTTATCTCGTACACGTCTTTGCGTCAAACATAATTGTAAGTTAAAGGAAATGATAACGAGCAACGGATAACAGGCGGTAAGCAATCAGCGCCGCCCATGGACTCTTGTAATACCAAAGGAGTTACTTCAAGTGCATTGCTGGCCTCTCGTGTCTAACTGGGCATTAAAGGATAGACAATTTAAGGAATTGAGGAAGTTGGAAATGGGGATTTATATAATTTAAGTGTGGGAGAGCCATGCTTCGGCACGAATGGGTCGGCTCGACCGGAGTGATACCACGGCCTCACAGAAAACCGGCGTGAAATAACCACAGCGTTGTGTTTCGCCGTGTGAGTGAGGTTACCGGAGGCCCAATCCTTCCCCTCCCCCAATCCCTCCTAAATAACTAAATCTCCCAATCCCTAACCCCTAAAAGGTCGGCAACGCACTCGTAACTCCTCCGTTGCGAGTGTCCATGGGCGACGCTGATTGCTAACCATCAGGTAATCCGTCTGCTCGTTTGCCGACCTATTAAATAAAAAAAATAAAAAAAAATAAAAACTTATATTTATTTTAAAACACCCACATTGAGATCTTCGCTTCTGTTGAGGGTGCGTTAATAAATGTACAATTTTATATAGACATTATAAATTGATCAAGCACTACATTTTGTAGATGACACAAAGAGTTTTTTGTAGATCCACAAATTGTTGTTTCGGGTCTGGGTGTCATGTGTATGTCACATTGTATGTTTGTAAATGCACCCACAACACAGGAGAAAATCATAAAGTGGGGCAACGTTTTAAAAAAATAAAAATAAAAAAAGAGTTGGCCCGTGCGGGCAATTAGCACGACGCCTGCCCAACCAAAGCGTCAACTATGCAGTCAAGGAAGTCTTAGAAAAACCGAACGACTCCAATTTTAATTTCATCGACATAGGTAAAAGCAACGTAGCAGTCCATTAGCTACAAATTAATTATAGTAATATTTTTTAAATGTTGAAGTAAATGATAACTGAAAATTTAGCCATCAAATGCTTCAATTTATATAAACAGAAGCTATTCAAAATAATATTCATAATATCAACACAAAGCATCGAGTTTCTGATGGATTACTCTCTATTATTATCGTTAGTCGAATTAATAATTTAATGCACGTAAACCCATCAACGGTCGAAATTACTATTATTTATATCAAAACGTTGCTGTCAGTTGTGTTTAACATTCAATATTCTTCGAATTTTCATTACTTTCGGGTCGTTTGTTGGATACTCTACAATTATATATTAAGTCGAAAACAATTAAAAAGTGGAGCCAAATAATATTTAAAGAAAATAAAATTTATAACGAATAGAAATGTAAAAATAATTCATTATTTCTGAATAAACAAAAAACCAATTCATTTCTGTTTCAAACGGCTTATTACACTATACTACATTCTTAATTCGGTTGTTGATCCTTCGAACTATTTATTGATAACAGCTATTATCAATGGTCTTATAAAACCATGGATCATAATAAAAATTTGTCATGTTTTTCAAATTCTGGAATTCTCATTCGAAATTTGTTATAATGCTGAGAAAGCGCGGAGAAGTCCGCTTGTGATTTATAAGAACCAAAGTGACGTTTTCCATATTATATTTTAATTTTTAAGATTAATATTTAGAAACCCCTGACGTTGTGAAGTAATCCAGACCCGATACTATATATCAATTTATGGATTTAAAATCACCAATCAGTCTTGTGCAAGTCTGGTGATTGAAACTTACTCCTTCTCCGTGTAAGAAGAGGTTTTTGGTGATAACTGGTGATAACATTGATAATGAACAATCTTGTATTTATACTACAACTACAATTACTACTACTACTTGCACATAACAAACATTTTGGGGCTTAGGATCGGTGTCTATTCAGGAGAAAAGTGATTGGAGTAGAGCCATTCTTAACAATCCTAAGGTTTAAAATTAGTCTAGGTAAATTTTTTGTGACAGGTCGGCAAATGAGCACACGGATTACCTGATGGTAAGCAATCTGCGTCGCCCATAGACACCCGCAACGACAGAGGAGTTACGAGTGCGTTGTCGACCTTTTGGGAATTAGGGATTTGGAGATTTTGGAAAAGGGAACGGATTGGGATACGGGAATAATTGGGCATCCGACCTCTCTCACACGACGAAACACAACTCTTTGGTTATTTCACGCCGGTTTTCTGTGAGGTCGTGGTATCACTCCGGTCGAGCCGACCCATTCGTGCCGAAGCACGGCTCTCCCACACTTATACATATAATGTGTAAGTAGTAACAAAAATATGAGAGTTTTTAATCGAAATACATACGTCTTGTGAATTGTCATACACAATGAACTTACCAGATGCAGGAGACAGCTTGTCATGTTTATAATCATGTTGGCAATTCCTGATGTTTTGCTGTTCCGGACAGACTGACTTATCAGTGCTGGCTACTGAGTGACTGCAGCGCCTCGTTTCTTCATCTGGTGTACCTCCACAAGGCCATAGCGTGCTAAGAAGAGAAGAGAATTAGCTTGAACATACACTTAATAATGTGTTGATTCAATCTAGCGGTCTCCAGAAAAGTACAATTGACGAAGTTGCATCCTGTCTTTCCTTGAACAATGTTTCAAACCGACAAAATAACAACGACTAATACAACACAAACTAATGTTTACGCAATATCTTACTGATTGAATATGAATTTCTTTTTAAAGTAATAGTGACATATTTAAAGTGAAATTTCCCGATAGTACATTAAAAAAATAATGGTCTCTCTGGCTAAAAATTAGCCCTTAATCAAACGGTTTGTTAGATAAATATTATCTGGTGAATAATTATGATCCTGTCACGTCAGAATGTTTGTATAAGACAATGACAGCAACAATCTTATTCCTTTGATAACATTTATCTGACTATTGAAAAATCAGCCCTAAGTTACTTTAAGCTCAACAGAAAAATAATTATAGCGAAACATTTTGGGTAGAAACAGTCAGTTGATCTACGAAAAAATATTAAACGTAAAATTTTCATCAATTTACGCAGGATTAAAGTACAATTTCGTTGTAATACCAATAAATAAGGAAATTATTTCAACAGTTCGTGCCTGTGCCCAAAGCGAAGTCTTCAATTGTAAGTGGGTCGCGCTGAGTGATTTACACAAGCCCCGTGTTCCCAATACGTCTACATTTATCTTATTTAATATTATGTATTTATACAGGATTCAAGAAATAGGCCCTTCTCACAATTCTCTTGGACGGTAGCTACATCGAATACTTCCAATTTATTTGGCCAAACAAAGAGAAACCTGATCTAAGTTTAACGATATGATAATAACGTTCTTTCGTCGACATTATTATTTTTTTTTTTTTTTGTGATTAAATGTAGTATATATTTGATTTAAATCAATGACAGGTGAATACTCCATGGGTGAAATACATAATTATGTTCTAGATGTTGCCTTATTTTAACAAAATCATTATTATATTTTGCGACACGGGGATTAAAAGAGTCTACTACTATTGTGTGAAATATAATTAAAATCGTCATAGTTTCCATCACCTGTGTGTACAAAGAAGACTTCATCGTATTTCTCAGGTGAATGGAGATAAACATTACTAAAAACCCTAGTTCAGTTGCATACAAGAATACAGGGTTACCGAATAAAGGATAGTAGTTTTTGAGATGGGTGTAGTAATTTAATATTTTGCTTTTAACTTTACAAAAAAAATACAGCAATTCACTCAAACCCTAGAAATAAAAGAGAAAAAAAGCATTTGATAAACGGCTCCCTACCCTTTACGATAACCTAAGTCCACACAAGCTATAAACTACGAAAAGACCTCTAGACCGAATTCTATATTTTATATTACACATAATATTTGTGTCCGACCATTTTTCTGCAGAACAATTCGTGATTTTCACGCGCCAAAGATTGGTATCGGAAGGTCAAGGGACCGTTCCCCTATCATCGGTGCGTACATCATATGTATTGACATTTCTATCTATGCTTCGTATAAAACCTTTATGATATTCTACATCAAAAAGGTTTTATTTATATTTGAAATTCTTGGAACAGTTTTTGTTCTGGTAAAATATGAATAGCTAAATGTTATTTGTGATAAGAATGTTCGTTTTAGAACGAATCTAATTTAAATAAAGGAGCATCCGACTGACATGCATAATTTTACTATAAGTAATATTTTCCACATTTTCAGTATCTCATAACTGTTAAGGTAATTAAAACCAATATTCTAAACGGAAAACTTTTCGACCAAGCAGGATAACTTGTCTGGTAAAACCCAATGAACTATTTTCCAAATTTGCAATCAATCTGTTTCGCTTAATAAGGTACTAAACAATTACTCTAAAATTTGAAAGCTTTGGTCTATATTTGTGTTTTTAAAGTCTATAATTCCATAGCATCTTACCTTCGTTTCGCCACCAATACCAGTAGCAGCGCTGTAACAGCGAGGCCGGCGAGTGCAGCAAATGCAAGTGACACGGCTCCCAGCACTCGTTCCGTATCCGCATTGTTGTTTGACGTCATGATCTGCCCACCCTCGGATTGGAAGGCTACTGGACGGCGAAGGCGCTCTGTTCAAGAAAATGAATGAATAAATAATCAATTTTATTTTAGCAAATAGGCACTATTACAATTCAAAATTACATATTAAAGGGCCGCCGAATAATTCTACAACATTCTGTACAGGGGAATCTAGAATTGTATCTTAAATCCAGCTACTCTCGCGCGGGTGTACCCGCTGCTCGGCTCCTACAGATGTTACTTAGCGTGATATTTTAAAGCCAATAGGTCACGAGAAAAAATCGACAGCAAATTAATATATTTAGCTCGCATATCAATGTGGTATTTCTAAAATACCTTTATCTAGTTTTAAAATTAATAATTAATTCATCAAAACCCAAGTGAACGCCGCACCCACCTATTGTATTTCTATTGTGTCTTAAATTGCCACTATAGAAAGGTTTAAATTCACAAGACATTTTGATATGGTTAGGCGCTTTTTTCAATAACCTCAAAGTTGTTTAAACCAAGTTTCTTTATTTCTTACACCCTATTTCCTAGCACCAAACATACAATACCAAATTCTTTACAATATAAAGACGTAATATGTTATACAAATAACAAGCTTCAGCAAGTGTTATAAGGTTACATTTTGAAATAAATGCGTTATGCCATTTTGTTCTGTAGATGGCAATAACTTACAGGCACAGAACATATAACACTGTTAATAGTAAAAGCTAGTGATAGATGGTAGGCCTTTAAGAAACCTCTGTGGTAACCCAGTGGACTAGTACAAATGGACATGAATCTACAGAAAAATACTCATTTTCCTAGAAAAGGAGGAAAACGTTAGGGAGTTCTTTGTATGGGAAGATAAATTATATGCTATAAAGAAATCTATTACCGTTTTTAGTGAACGTTTTAGCGTTTTTTTGTCTGGTTTACCAAAAGAGGGGTGAGTGCAGTAATTTTATATATTTAAATTAATGTTAACCTTGTTAGCGTTGTGTTTTGCCGTGTTAGTGAGGTTACCGGAAGCTCAAACCCTGCTCGCCTCCCCCAATCATTCACCAATGTTTAAACCTTCGGTACCCTAATCTCGGTCTCTTAGGGCAGCGGACCGCAAACGAATTGACGCCTTTGAGATGTGGTGTTGGAGGAGGATGCTCCGTATTCCCTGGACGGCATTTCGAACCAACGTCTCAATTCTGCGTGAACTCAAGATCTCCTCACGACTGTCATCCGTGTGCCTTCGTAGAGTCCTTGAATACTTCGGTCACATTGCAAGAAAAGAGGGAAACAACCTGGAGAGACTCATTGTGACCGGAAAAATGGAGGGGAAAAGGCCTCGTGGTCGCAGCCCGATACGTTGGTCCGATCAGATCCGCACCACTTTGGACTCTACCATCCACGGCGCCCTTCAAACCGCCAGAGACAGAATTAGATGGAGGAAGATCGTACGGGAGAAGGTGATACCGAAGGGAGGTCACGACCCTCAGCAATGAGGAATGCGAAGCAAGGAGGGAGACCCTAATCTCCAAAAGGCCTGACCTCTGACCGGACTTTCGTTTGCCGCGTTGTCATTTAAAAAAACCTACCTTGCATGTTGAATACTATAATAGTACGCTTGTCTCCTAAAAGCACACAAGCGAGGGTCTCGACAGTACAGATTAGGTATGAAATTATTATTTAAGTTTTTACTGGATATCCTAATCGTATCAAACACATTGCCGAAATCTCAACTGAAATTCAAAACTTTTCGTAAAAATAAAAACAAAATTATGAAAAATAATTCCGTTAGCATAATCTTAATTTATACGTTCACAAAATGAAAATGGGGCATTTTACTGATTTACATCTCAATTTGAAAAATAACGACTGTTTGTTGTTTTTTATACGTACCTACAGCAACATATAGCAAAAAAACCACTTAAAATAAATGTCTACTACGCCGCCTGACGGCTAGGCTATTATTTTTAGTCATGCTTTAAATATTGCAACTGAATAACGACTGCTGCAGCACTTTTTTGTGATAAATGGACATCAAAAATGTATTTTTAGAGCAAGACCGGTAAGGGTGTCGGGGATGGTAATTGTAAAACTTGTGATGTTGTTTTTATTTCTAGGATAATAATATTTAATAACTATAACATTTTTATTTTTTCTCGCAATCTTAGATGTCTGATGTGAAATCGTAAAAAAGTGGTCTTTCAAAGAATCAATGTTAGATTTAATAAAATTGATTCTTATAATCAGTTGTTATTCTTATTCAAGCATTGTCTTAATAGGGACCTCATAGATGTGTTCCATTGCTAAACACATGACTGCTTACCGCCAAAAGAGATACCAGTTACAAAAAAAATAAAGAATTTCAATCCAAAATTTTGGTTTGAGATTGATTTTTGTCATCAGATTTATGGACCTTTCGTAGAAGACCTCAGGCGGCTCAAATCAATAAATTTACCAGTAATTAAAATTTTAAGCCCTTTGGGGGTTAATACTTAAAGCTTGTCGGATCTAAGTGCACATAGTTTATATATAAGTTAAATATTGTCATAACCTGCTTGTATACATATTTACTTTTACCTCGCATTTCCACGAAAAACGTTGATTACGTCATGTGTGTAAAGTTTCTCGGATTCCTCCATGGAATGGACACGGAACATGGAACTTAACTAACGGAACAAGTAAGTACGTAATAATGGGCGAGTGTCCACACAGTATGTTGTATAACTAGTTTACAGAGACTAACGTTTAATTGGGTCGTGCACAGTTTTAGCACTTTCTACGGGAGCCTCTAAAATCTAGAGTCTAGAGTACGCAAGACTCTAAATATCGTCTGAGGCTCAATAAAAAAATATGTGTGAGAAAGTAAGTAGTCATTGAATATATAATTAACAACAACTATAAATGAATTACACAAAATATCAGCTAATTATTTTTTTAATATAACTATCATAGGGAGGGTAAAGTTTAAAATGTTAAGGATAAAGTTTGAAATAGGTACTAATTTCTTGAAAATGGCGAGTTACTCACATGAATTAAAAAATTAAAAAAAAAATTAAATTAATAACTGTGAAAGGCGTGTGAAACGAGGACGCGTGATACAACACGTTGTTTATGAATAAGGTTGTTGTTGTGACCTGAAACTAGTGTAGCTTTTCTCAATAAATTTACGACAAAGTCGTTTATTTCAATAAACTAAGATTCTAATGTAGTTACTTAGTCCTGACTCTTAGGATCACCCTTAAACATCATCAAAGTGCAAAATTACCTATAATACTAATAAGCGCGATACTTACACAATACATACACATATGTATCTTAAACTCTCTAATAAAATATAGGCTTTGAAGATTAATTACTAAAGTAAAACAGTAAAAGAATAAAGCGTGCCTACCTCCAGAATGTGTTGTAGTTGCCGCGTAAATCACAGCTTGGTGCCGGGCGGAATCCGTAGCAGTCCACAGCCGGAGCGCATACCATGCGCCGGATGCCAGCCCACCTATCACGACCTATGTGAAGATAAACAAAATAAAAGACTGTACAAAATCCATAGCACTATCTACTAGGAGCATTTGAATCTTCCGACTAAGCAATCTAAATACGAAAAACTTAATTTAAATTTTCCCAAATCGAAATAAAACTAAAGGTCTATTCTATTCCGCAGCCATCTTGGAAATTTATTCGACAAATTAGCTACTCTTAGGACTCGTTTATACACACGTGCCGCTTTACAAGGCGCGTCCGTCGTACATTGCTCGTTTTATATGTAATTATGTTTGCGTTTACGCTGTGACGCGGTCTGCTGCTGCAATGTATTACAAACGCACGATGCGCCACGCAACGTCACCCGTGTGCGTGAGCAAGGCCTTAACACTTTTTGTATAGATTGCTGGTGACTACTTAAAAACACACTTTTTTTTTAAGAAATCCAATCGACAATATCATACTAGAAATACAATCCTATGAGGAATGCCATGTTCATTAACCTAGAAACTTCATCACTATTATAGCTCAGGGTAGCTGATATTTGCCTATTCTACTAAAGGAAGCCTTTTTGGGTTATTTAAAAATAACTGATGACGTAGACTCTGAAAATGTGCTTTAGTATGGCAATTGTTACAATAAATTATATTGTAACCATTAGTCAGGTCAGTAGCAAAACAATGTTTAAGTGTCGCATAGCGCTGAATCCATCTACTTTCTTTGATTAGTTGGCAAACGAGCCGATAGATGGGAAGGTATAGGTCGAGACAGTTCCTATACCAACGCCACTTCGAGGATTAAAATAAGATAAAAAGGAAAATTATTCTAATAAAGAGATTCCAGATGATTCCAGCTTAACCCATTAGTAAATTAATCACCCATTTTATTTTACTAATACATAAAACGTACAAGTAAGCAGCATTAAACTTATTTTAACAAAAAATCATGTTGCATTAACTTCATTGTAATTTACATTTTTTACCCAACATCTCCGCTTACGAGCAACGCGTTAGCGAAGCTAAAGGAAAATAGAATTTAAAAGGCAGCAGCTTCATTAAACTTTCACAAGTGGCTACATAAAGTGATGTCAGGGTTATTTTCCAACTTCTTTTAATAACTGACACGTTTACATAAATAGAGTGAGCACAGACTCAGGCACGGTTCCTTTTCATCCATTCGAAAATCTTCCTTCTGTCATTCTGTAATCTCTATACACCAATTTTCCAAACTTATTCATTCACAAACACGAGATAATCCCTCGTAATATCCCGCTTGTTACCTTCCTACCTTAATCAACGACTACCTGAAGGGAAATTTTCACAATGAAGTTGTTGATATTTTCCAAAAAAAAAAGAATACTTTATTCGTCCCTTCGGATCATAATGTACGAATTTGTACGTAGCTTGAGTCTCAATTTGTAAGGCTTCAATTGCCTCTTGTTTCCACGTAATACATAAAGGTGTATTTCACTCGATTTCCTGCTCTTTTGTATACGATATTTTCGTTAAATTCATTTACAGTTATCCGAACCCGAAAGTTTCTGAATTCGCTCAATATGTCTGTGAATGTTGATGATACCCAAATCAATCAAATCTTTAGGTAGAATCCCAAAACTCATAGAAATATAGAGGTTACCATGAGATAAGGTTCAGTCGTTTTTTATATTTAAACTATGTGCTTTACACGTAATAAGGATCGAAATGAAATGTATTGTAATCATTTAAACAAACCACATTTTTTATTTGATTCTGTATTTTGGTATTTTCTGGCATGAAACGGAAGTTTTTAAACCAAATATTATGAAAATACTTTATAGCTAAAATCTTACCTCTCGGTGATGATGCAGTGAGGTAAGGTCTGCGTCCCTCCACGCTGCAGCTCCGGCAGCGTCAGCTCGTCGCCACTGCAGCCTCACAAGTCTGGCTCCACAACGCACTGCTCGTCTTGCGTCTAACGCTAAAGCGCTGCTGTTACTCCAAACTGCAGCTTCAGCTCCTTCTTCAAGTCTATCCTCCCCTCCACCTTCCCAAACTAACACTGGTAGGGAAAAAATATCATGTTTTATTTATACAATTGAAATGTGACAAACATGACAAAGATTTTATGAATATAATAATATTTAACTATAGTTTTAAGTTTATGGAATTAGGATTTACGGTCGTTCTAAGAAATCTTTGACAGTAAAATTTCGGACGTCCCTATCTATCTATCAGTTCATAAAACAACGGATTTCAATTATTCATAATCTCCTAATTCCTATAAAACTTATACCATTAATCACAAGACCAAAATCTATTCCAAATTTATTTTACATCAAAATACCATCTTTCATACGGCACACATTTCCCCAATATGTAATAAGGCAGTAATACATTCGTCACTAAGCCTGATTGGCCACTATAATGGCATCGCAACGTCAATACCACAGCCTAATCTTCATAGACCCTTTGATCCTGTAACAGCGCAAAATTGCTTTCGCGATAAAAGGGAATTACTCTCGTGAAATTAGCCAATGATTGATTTTTGCAACTTTGGTAATTTTGTGCAAATTGTTTTTTTTATTTTTAGTAGCGCATATTGTATTGATTTATTATACTTAGTTTTTTCTAAATTCAGATGTGACGAGAAAAATGTTTTTAATCAAGTATTCCGATGCATTTTTCACGAGTGCATTGAGTAAATAATTCCACATTCACACGTACACATGCTCGCAAAACGTTACGTACATCCACAGTTTAGAATCAGGCAAAGCTAATTGGATTGACAGTAACAATAATAAGCGTAAAGATTTTGTCTCTTAAATGCATCATCCTACTCGTATTACTAAATATAAAAATACTTTAACATCGTTTTCAAAAAGGTTTCCAGTATCATTTGAATGGACGATGGTACTCGCTAGTGTGGGGAGCTTACATTGTTGACGAGCTCGATTCCGGCTTTACAACTTTTTACATTTCCTACCTATTTCACTTCACATTCCGAGTTTGTCGCTAGGGAAAATGGAGACTACTTTTAGTTACAATGTTTGTAATCTATTCATATTAGAGTAAGTAAAGAGACATTTTAAAATATCTACAGAAATCAATTTTATCATCCCGGCTTTAATCTATACTAATATTACGAGTATAAAGAGGTAAAATTTGTAAGTAGTTATGTAGGGGGTAATCTTTGGAACCGCTGGTCGGATTGCCAAAATTCCTTCACTGATAGATAGCTACAATGTTCCTGAGTGCTATAGGCTACAAAACATCATGCTACGATCAAATGGAGCTGAGCAGCGGGTGAAACCGCGCAAGAGTAGGTACCTAGTAATGTATATTTTATGAAAATTGACAACCAATTGACAATGTCTGCGTATACAAATAACATCATCACATCATGGGGGCAAGAAAAAGAAAGGGAAAGAAACCGGCAACGCACTCGTGACTCTTCTGGTGCTACGGGTGTCCATGGATGGCGCTAATTGCTTACTAGCAGGTATTTCGTCTGCTTGTTTGCCGACCTATTCCATAAAAAAAGCTGGAACTAGTTGACAGTTTGTTTTACCAATGTTGCTGGTAGTTCGGTAGTAATCAGTTATGCATTTTACCGTAGACAGTCAATATGCAAACATAATATATATTTTTTATCAAATAGGTATTCTAATTCCAGCAATTAGCACATACCTGCTCATAAATATACTTGAAAGCACCCAACGTTTGAAGTTATAAAATGACCTATTAAACTTTAAATATTTTCAGGAACTTCAGTAAACTTCAAGTTACTTCAGTAAGGTTCTAGTTTATTACTTGCACGATGAACTTTTCCAGTACAAATTTTCTTGGCATTTTTCTTACATATGGAAATAACGATAGAAGTGGCAAAATATTGAGTTAACAATATCTATACAATATAATTACTATATATGTAAAGTGGTGTCAAATTAGCAATAGCTACCAATACTTTAGCTTGTTAAAAACTTATTATTTTTACACCTCTATTAGTGTCGTACGAGACTGCGCGCTTTTTACACAGAACTACAATTTGTGTACCAAGAGGTATTCCTTGCAGGAATCGAGCTCGCGAGACAATGCAGACACGGTATCCCACCCACCGCGTCAACTGAAGAGTTATTTTTGATATTTGTGCACCTCATTTTTGACTATTAATGTACTTTTTTTTACCATCAAATGTACCAAAAATTTATAACCAAGAATTTTACGCATAAATATCAAATGTGTTTGAACAGTGACACGGAGGTTGGGCTACAGGCTGCCGAATATTGTCTCTCGAGTACTATTTCCGTACGGGACAACTCTTTCTATGATCCACAAATTGTAGTTCTAGGTCTGGGTTCTGGCTTCGCAAAAGTCTCCAACGATAAGAAAGGTCTCCTTTATCCTAACTCTGCTGTCTACTTTTCTAAAACTTTCTTCTACCTTCTCCTGACATTAACAAACATAACAAAAAAGAATTGGTAAAATTTGTCAAAGCGTTGTTGAATTATGCGCTTACCAACACATTTTACAATTCATTTTTGTATAATATACTAGCTACTCTCTCTGCGGTTCACCCGCTGCTCGGCTCCATTTGATCGTAGCGTGATGTTTTATAGCCTCAGACTCACAGATAATTGTAGCTATCTATCAATGAAAGAATTTTAGCAATCCGACCAGCGGTTCCAAAGATTACCCCTACATACAAACTTAAAATTTTTACCTCTTTATAATATTAGTATAGATATAAAATCTATATATTATATAGATTGTATAATTGTAAATGCACCGATGGTACAGGATCCTACGATGGGAAAACGTTTTATTTTAAGAATAAAAGCCGTATTTCAATGTAATAACGACGACCAAATAATATACATATTTCCAAGAACCAATAACAAAAATATTTTATTTCAATTTTATCTTTTGAAAAGATTCAATTAGTATCGAAGTATTTTTCAATATTTCCAATTATGCAAATTGAAATAATCTAGTTGTTTCAATCTACATAAAGTAAATGGTTTTCATTTCATGGTGATTAAAGTCAGTAAACAAAAATATTTATATTTTAAATTTTCTTGGAAAATATTTTTTTTTATCTAGTTAATACAATTAGTCTTAAATTACAAAGTATGTAGTGCACTTTTGTAGTGTTTTATGAAAAAAATATGAATTATATTGTAATTACACCAACATTTTTTTTTGTGGAATACGGAGGAGTTACGATTACGTTGCCGACCTATTAGGGATTAGGGTTTTGGAGATTTAGGGATTGGGAGGGATCAGGGGAGGAGAAGGATTGGGCCTCCGATAACCTCACTCACACGGCGAAACACAATGCTGTGGTTGTTTCACGTCGGTATTCTGTGAGGCCGTGGGATCACGCCGGTCGAGCCGACCCATTCGTGCCGAAGCTTGGCTCTCCCACTCTTAAATATTGTGATAGGTATTGTATTGAGTCAATTATTTGAATCTTTTTATATGATAGTACAGCAAACGAGCTGATGGATTACCTGATGGCAAGCAGTCGGCGCCCCTAACACTAGAAAACGAGTTACGAGTGCTTTGCCGGCCTTTTAAATTTGGGTTTCTGAGATTTAAACCGGTAACCTTGCTACTTCACTCACACGGCAAAACACAACGCTGTTTTTGTTTTACTCTGGTATTTTATAAGACCGTGGTATCACTCTGGTCGAGCTGACCCAAGTGTGTCGAAGCATGACTCCCCTTACTTCTTGATACTACAATAATACTTTATGTTGGCAATAGTATGACGCAACATAGTGTGTTTTTGTGAGTAAGGTTAAAGGAGACCCTATCTCCCTAATCTCCGAAAGGCTGGTAAAGCAGTGTGTTATCTGTGTCGCAATCTCTGAATGGCGCCAATTACCTTACTATTAAGTTCGCTTGTTTGCCGACCTATATTTACCATAAAAACTTACAAACTATTAAAGTACTAATTCTTACCTGGAGGTTTAGTCTTCACCAGTAATGGAACGGAAGGTGGGGATGACCCAGCCCTGGAATGGGCCACAGCTCGCACGGAGTACGTGGCACCACAGGACAGAGCTCTCAACACCACACTGGATGCCTCCCCTCCTGTCTCCAGTCTTCGTTCTTCCTCAGCACGAGAGCTGATTGACTCCAATCCATCCCCTGTGTCATCACGGACACGAATCCACCAGATTGTGAAACCTGTTGCAAGAAATGAAAGACTCAGAAGAATATTTGCTACATCGCTTCTCTTCAGGAGTGTTGGTAGCCAAGTATAGATATGTATATCATTTGCAGATTGGACTTTTAAAACAAAGAAATACATCGGACGAATTTTGAACTAACTATGTAAGTACATTTATGTTCTAAAACTACCATGAGACGGACGGCTGCATTCGATATATTCGGTGACCTTTTATTCTTGAGGAGGGACAACCATCCAATGACTTATCTCGGCCGGATATGTCGATGTCAGACTCTTACTGACTAAAAACCCCCTTGTTTGTTCTCCTGTTCCAGGTCGGGGCAGTGGTACCTTACTGCGCTTGACCCAAGACCCCGGCTAAACATAGCCCTGTTGGGCACATTTCGGTGACCTTTTGCTAAGTATAGTGATTATGATATAAGTACCTTCTCTTTCATCATCATCATCAGCCCATAAAGTGCCCACTGCTTCGTGGGAATGAAGATCGTCTTCGTGGGATCGAAACTTGGCAAGTACTAATATGACTTTTTCCAAGTTGTATGTACTTTCTATGATTATTTAGAAAACACTGACATACGGTGAAGGTAAACATCGTGAGGAAACCTGGACTTATAATTTCTAATTATAAGTTTGAAATCGCCAACCCGCATTGAGCAAGCGTGGTAATTAATGCTCAAACCTTCTCCGTGTGAGAAGAGACCTTCTCTTTATTTTCATTAATTCTTTCTTCTGCAATAAATTTGCCGCGGAAAGTGAAAACTACTTCGTTTTATTTCTTCTCTTCAAATAATATCTTCTGATTTATTTCGTTGCGGGATCCAAGACAGTCATTCGTGTCCCTGGGACCCACCAAACTTCAGTGTTCCGGTGTTTTCATGGTTGTATCTACTGTAAACCCTGGCTTACAGGAGTTGCAGAGGATTAGGGATGTTACGGCGAGCTTATCCCATTTAAAAGAAGTCCCTTCTTTTTTACTCCTTTCTTTGGTAGATTTTATCAAGATTTCTTTTGTCCTTTGCAAATATATTAATTATTAAGCATACATTGTATTTAATATATTTCAATTTTAGAAATAAATTTGTTTTTTTTTCCAAAAATGGTTCATAAGATTCAATGTTATGTTTACAAAGTAACGCGGAAAGTCTCGTGCTTACAATATCTTTGATCCATCAAAGGAAAATGGCTCAGTTTATTCAAATTAGTATTTTACAGACGTTCGTTTAAGGCGTCGCCGTCGTTTACTTTCCCATAGGTAATGAAGCAAAGTATGATTTTATATTTACTCTAATACATATCAAAAAACGTCGAATATGTAATCTGCTGTATAAGGTAGTGATTTATATTTATTTACGATGAATTTATAAAATTTCTCAAAACTCAAATCAAATATACTATAAAATATCAAGGCTTTTGAAGAACAGAGAAAAAAAATAAAGTGTGGATATGTCGGGCAGTGAAGCTCTCGTTCTAATATGAAAGACTAGCTTCTGCCCGTGGCTTCGCACGCGTATAAAAGTAACGTATCCCGGAATTTAAGAAACAGCAGGGTTTAAAGCGATAGCGCTACTAAAATACGCAAGCAAGTATGATTCTAGCACTCAGTACTTTAGCACTGAGGAATATTATAGCTAGCTATCAGTGAAAGATTTTAAGAAACCCGACCAGGGGTTTTAAAAATTACCCCTAGATTACAAAGTTTACCTCTTATAAATATGAAAATGCAAAGCAATGAAGATTTCTACTTAATCTTTTTGAACCTCAAAGTATAAAATCTAAATAGGTTTTCAATAAGGAAAACAAAAACTTGATCTCTATTTGAGAATCGAACTTATTTCCCACACTTCAGTGGTTGAACCGATACAGAACCAATGAGACGAACAGAAAAGTTTCTATTCGAAAACTCGAGAAGTAAAATAGTAGAAAGCTAGCAACCGCCATGGCACTTATTTCGAACGAGAGTACTCTATTAAATTGTTTTCTATATTGCAATGTTTGCGAAACTTTTGAGATTGTTTCCAATGTTCACAAATCGAAAACATGTCGAGAATACCAAGTGATCTTGTCATTGTTTTCATCGGCACATTCCTAATATAACAATGCTAATATTGGTAAGTTTAACATTATTTATATACAAGTGTGTTATAAGTAACTAACTACTTATGGGCAACTGACCAGACATAAAAAAAAAATATAAAATACATTTTTTAAGTTAAGGAAATTCTGTAAGGAACGAGTTTTGTATATAAAGGTAGACATTTGAAAAATAAAATACTAAAAATGTTGTTAAGAAATGTGAAGAAAGCCTGTTATATCATCCACTAAGTCTCGACCACCGTTTATGATATACCCTGCACACGACGGAACGTGTTAAGGAAGTTTTTGAAGTGCTTACCTTAACAAAATTAAACAAAAAAAAATTTTTCCCAATATCAAGCTAAATCGAAATCTGTACTTAAAAGTAAATCCTTCAGTGTTTTGTGATGTTTACTAGACTATAGCACTCAACAACATTGTAGCTATCAGTAAATTTGAAAGAATTTTCGAAATGCGACCAGTGGTTCCAAAGATTAACCTCTACATTTAAACTTTTACAACATTCATACCAGTTCTACTATTTATGCTTCTCGCACTTTTATTCCGCATGACTGTATTTTTCTTACGTTTATCATCTTATTTTCAGTACTGTGGGCGGAGCTCTCGCATTCTGTCTCTCTAGTCCTGTCTGCATCTACAATAGTTTCACCTACAATCTATAATAGCATTTAAGGGATAATAATTGATATGTACCTTGTTTTTATTTATTATGATCAGCCGTTATCGTTCCACTGCAGGGCAAAGCCCTTCCTACCCTTCTTCCACTCTTTTCTGTACAAAGCTTTCTTCTTTTTTGTTTTTATTTACCTACACGTTATTTTATTTTTTTGTTTTAGGATAAAGGAATAAACTAGCAAACTGACCACTGGTGGCAAGCAATCGACGCTGCCTATGGACAATGGCAACACTAAAATAGTTGCATGCGCAATGTCAGTATCTACGGAATTAAGGGTTTGAGGCTGCAAACTGATACTGAGCTGAACGAATGAAAGAACTAAATTCAGCTTCTAGTAACCACACTCTTAATGAGAATCACGACGCAAGCGTTGTACTCTCAACTTGAAAGTATAATTGTAAGTATAATTTTTGCATCATATCATTTTAAATTTTTGCCAGTTAGCTTTTCTGTCTTAAATTTTCTAGTAGTTCGTTGTTAATAATGTGTGTCTGTTCCTTGACCTTGGTCAACACGACTACTGACACCCGTCGTATTTTCATCCTAACATATATGGTTGCTATGTTTGCTTGTAAACTGACACACACGACGAAACACAAAACAAGCTATTTAGCGCTAGCTTTCAATGAGGCAGTAGTTAAAATATTTAAATGTTCAAAGCTCGACAATTGTGTACTCTGATTTCAATGCTAATCTAAATTATTCACGTTTAGGTCCAAATATAACGTGATTGAAAATCCTACGCAAACCTATTACAATTCGAATCAGATTATCTGATTTAGTTGGACGGGCCAAGGAATTTTTATTAGTATCCCAATGTTCCCTTCGAATTGGGTTTTATATTTCCTGTTCTTGGATTTTATGTAGATATTTCTAAATTCCTTTGCAATTTCCCTCAGTTGTAGGTATATGGATGTTGACTGTTGTTAACGCACTTAACTTCATTTTAAACATAAACGAGTCTGCTATCGGTAACTAGAGGAACTTAATTTATTTATTTTTTATCTGTCGGCTGTCGCTCTCTCTTGTAAATAACATTTATATCAAGCCTTCCTCAATCAAAACTAAGCCAAATTATTTTCTCAATTGGAACCTATGGTTATGGTTGTTAGCCCTTTCAAACGAACAAACTTCTTATATTTTACTACAGATCTGCAGACTAGGGCAAAGGCGCTGTAACAAAATAAAGCCCAACAAATTTAAACCGTTTCATTTATTCATTTTATCACTACTAAGATCTTATCTTTAAGAGTTTGAGACAGTTTACATCAATGACGATATAACCACTATCCTCTTTGGTCTACATGCTAGGCTGACAATCCGACGTGAGGAACTAAATTAAACATTAGGTCAAAAAAGTATGAACGGTACAGCAGCTGTATGTTTGTCAGATGTATGTTTGGACACTAGCTTCTAAGTTATATCTAAGTATATAAAAGAAACTCATGTTAGTTACATTTTTATAGTTCAAGAACGGCTGAACCGATTTCGTTGAGAATTGGTGGGGTACATCCCCACCAATTCTCAACGAAATCGGTTTAGAACCAGAAGAAGAATATAAAAGAGTAAAGTAGGTGGGGTAAGAAGGATAGGTTAGGTAAGGCAGGGTAGGTAATGTAAAGTTGATGGTGTAGGGTAGATTAGGTAGGGTAGTGTAGGCAGTCAGTGTAATGAATGGATCGAAGCTAAAAGCTGGTTTCGAATATTTTTCCCTTACCATGTGGTGGAGCTGCAGGGTGGTGAGTTGTCCGCCAGGTTAGTCGTGCGTCAGTGTGTGCGGCGTGGTCCAAGGTAAGAGTGGGAGCGGCTGGAGGTGCGGCGCACTCCACCCTATACGTCACTTCTTCTGAACCAAATGTGTTACGAGCTGAACACGTGTAGTTACCACTGGTTGATGCGTCCACTTCTGTTAGACAAAAAGTTATATTGGTTAAAGATCATAAACTTGGATTTGCTTTGAAAGTTGAATATAACACTTTTCTTAACACCAAATTCTCTTAATACTTATTTTTGACAGAAGCTAGCTTAGACAATAAGTTGAAACATATATATTGCAGTTTTACAGTTGCTGTGTCCGCATTTGACCCTAAAAAACCAACTCAACGTTCGCGTCCTCCAAAAACTTAAATACGCTACTAACATGCTATTCCATTAGGCCATGAAATCTCACCGGTTATATTCTTTATACCTTCTAAAACGACTTAGTTACAAAATGTATGGTAGAAATACTTGAACTTAATAAAATTATTTTTCACTGATCTAGAGCAAAACTATGGTTAAAATGATAAATGTCATTGTATATTCTTTTATACTATGTTTCAAGGTGTTTACGTTAAAAGAAACTGCTCAATACTGTACGACTATTTATTACCATGTATAGCTAAATGTCCATGAGGAGTGAGATGTGTCCGTGGGTCGTGTGTCACAGGACGATCGCCGCGCAACCATCGAGCCCTCGGAGCCGGTTCACCACGCCAAGCGCAAGCCAGACGCAAGGAATGGCCACATTGCACACGTGCCCAAACGCCGAATGAGAGAAGTCTTGCTCTTGCTAATACAGGTAAAAAGAAGACATGTAAAATATACGATCCAAATTTAATTTGTTTATATCAGGCAAAATTAAATTGAGATATAAAACTGACTCTAAATATGTAAATGTGGCTACGAACATAGATTGACGACAATGTACCACGGATGGCGTAACAAATCCTACATCGCGCGGATAAAGGATTTGCGCTAATAAATACGCGCAAATCCCAACGCACAACTGTTGGGCAGCAGTCTACCAGACCCAACGCCTGGAGGATCGGAGGATCCTCCCTTTTCAATGGAGGATGAAAAATGTTACACCCCGTTCTCCCATCCCTCCAAAAATCATTTTTTTCTCCATTGTCGGAATAAAACAAACAAAAATCTCCATTATACATATATATTTGTAAGTTTCAAACCTCTTGATGTAGTTGTGGCAGGTTGTGGTGGTGATGGTTCTCCTTCACCAGCAATGGAATGCGCAGCAACCCATGCCTCATAGGTTGCCCCTTCAGATAATGACCTCAATTCTGTCGACCCACCTAGACCCACAAATGGATCACCTTCTTCCACTTGCACGGTTGTTGTTATAGGAGGTCTATCCCTAAAGAACACTTTCAAAATTAGATCTCTTCTCAACGTCAAAGAGAGAAAGAGAGAGAGAGAGAGAGAGAGAGAGAGAGAGAGAGAGCGAGAGAGTACCAACCTGCCTAGTTCTCTATAAAATACGGTGTAATATAATAAAGGTCCATTGGGTCTACTCGGTGGCAGCCAACTGACAGCAAGTGAGGTTACTGAAGTTGCCACTACTTTCACTGCTGCTGGCGAGCCCGGAACTGTGACCAAAAATTAATATAAAACACTAAGGCATAGCTTATATTTTGCAAAGCTTAAGAGTTTTTTGCGTAATCCTACACATCCGTAATATACTTAAAAAGTAAATACAAAAAACTTACCATCTTGTTGTGTGGTACAATGTATGGGATGAGCGGGTACGCCATCACCGGCCGCCGTATACGCAAGCGCCTGCACAGTATAGTTAGTATGAGGCCGCAACGCAAGCAGAAGCGTTTCCACGCCCACTACTCGCTTCACCTCCGCGCCCGCTCCTACATTGGACCCGCCGTTGCCCCGTGCGTCCCACTCCAACCACTCAGTCGCTGCCGACAAACAACTGCCATCACTCAGCTTGGATTTAAAATAAAATCTGATTACTGAGCGTTACAGCGTAGTAATTGGATCGAACATTGCCAATATTTACTCACTATGTTCCGGGCGGTAAAGCAATTTGTAACCTAATAACGCGCCGTGATGAGCATGCGCGGGCGGCGGGGACCACTCTACTTTAATACTCTGTGGCGATACGGCACGACATCTGACAGCGCGTGGACCTTCTGATGGCACTGTTAAACATAGTCACTATTATAATATTAGCGTGTTAGTTAGCCACGTAAATAACATTTATTCCGAAATATACTTGCCACTCTCTTGTGTTAAAGTATTAACAGGAGCCGTAGCAGGCCCTGCACCCGCACTATTGAATGCTCGGACGCTCACAGAATACCTGCAAAACAATTTGGACTATAACATACACCTTCAAAGTGGATTTTTGCCCAAAAAATCACGCTTTCTCACCGGGTATAATGTTCCAGACCTTCGATAATGTATTTTGTTATTTGTCCTCTGACAGTAGCAAATTCCATGCCTACGTTTGAACCTCCTCCTAATGTTCCATCTGCTGAAGGCCACCACCATACAGTATAGCCAAGTAGTTCTCCATTCCAAGATGATGATGGAGGCGCCTTGAAATACAAAATTGGATTTTATTCCTAGACACATAAGACGCATATTACGCTTGATTGTTTCTTCATACCTGCCAAGCTAGTTCAATAGTTGAAGATCTTGGAGCAGACGCCCGCAAGCTGATTGGAGCTCTTGAAGGAGGTTCATGCAATGTAAGTGCAAGGAGAGCCCTCGTATGAGCTGATGCAAATTGAGCTGTCACTGTCCGGGCCCGCACTAAATACGCTGTAGCTGGTTCTAAACCAGTTATTGTCGCACTTTCAGTTCTGTTCAAAAATCAGAAATGATATGTTACTCATCGTTAATTATACTTTCTTTAATTTTTGAACTGGCAGTAGGAACCATTTTGTTTTTAACTTACTCAGCATAAGACTCCGGTGCATGCGCGGATACGGACACATTATGAGTTTCTGCATCCCTCCAAGAATCAGAGCTGGTGGAATCATGCTTGCGATATTGTACCACGTAGCCCAAAACTGGAGAATTCCCATCATATGGTCTTCTCCACTGCAGTCGAACTGATCGTGATGTGGTCTCTAAGACCCTGAAGTTTGCTGGTGGTTCTGGAGGCTCTAAGAAAGGAAAAAAAAGATCAAGAAGACCAAATAATATGTGTCACTAAGTCTAAAGAAACGGTAAATAGTTTTGCTGTTGGAATTCGTACCTTGAACAGCCAAATGAACGAAATGATCAGATCTTCCATAAGGATTGGATGCCTGACAGCGATATACTCCTGAGTCCCTTCTGTCAGCTCGTTCTATTACTAGTTCACTTCTTAACCCTTCTGCACTCCTAGTTTCTGATATGCTCATTCTAAAATAGATGCAAAAAGAAGTTACCTAACATTTTTGAGTATAAGTTTCAAAAAATTACCTTGTAAAATGTACATAGTTTATTTTTTACAAGACATCATACCATTAAGCAAAAGGTTTGTCACGTAAATTAAAAAACATGCAATAGAGAAATATAATTCAGTACCGGTGACAACTGTTACTAGTATGTTAAAGTATCTACTTTTCTGTAAGTATAAATACATAAATCACAAAAAAAACGCTAGCCTCTAAAGTAAGGGTCATAACAGCCGACAAGTTAGTGAAATGTCTTGTATAATTTGATCCTACCTATAATCTGAATTAGGTAACGCTCTCCCTGAGTGACTCCAAGCTGTGGCAAGTGGAGAATCTCCGCGTGCGACACAAGCCAATCTCACAGTATCCCCCAGTTTCGCAGTAACATTGGCTGATTGCGTTTCAAATCGTGCTGGTTCTAAAGAAGAAAACAAATATTTTAAAATCGACGATCTCATAAAAATTACGAAATCAAATTTAGAGGATATGAAAAGCAACTTTGTTACCTTAAAAAAAGAATTCAGTTTCCCGATGCTATCCAATATTAAGACCCCATCATTACAATTTCAAAATGTATGTATATCAAAGTTTTATGAAGAATTTATTCGTTCTGATTACTCAAAATACAATTTATTCTACTCATCAATAAAGTGGACTTTTGCAAACTTTGCAAAGACCTTTAAGGATCACATTGCATTTAAATATTATAACGTACCATTTATATGTATATTGAGAGTTTTTGATAAAGGAGGCGACACTCCATTGTCGGCTCTGCAGCGATATTTTCCAGAATGTTCCGCTCGTGCTGATTCTAACCTTAACGAGCCATTAGTGAGCACCACTGGGTCTGATACTCCACCAAGAGTAGTTTCTGTACTACCTTTAAAATATAATAAATATGTTAATATACATCAAATGTTTGGTCACATTTAAGTTGCAAAATTGGGTCAAATTTAGGTCAAGTAATCGTCACACAGAAGTCGCTTAATATTACACACGAAAATAACGATGAATGAGCCAACCCCACTCCATCATCAATTCTTATATGCCTCAAACCCAAAGAACCCGCAAAACATTTGTTAACTATTTGGTGATGCAGGTGTCCATTAGCGGTGTCGATTGCTTAATTACATACACTTAATGCCGAACCTAACAAAAAAAAAAACAAGCGAAATTACCAGTTTTCACCATATTAAGTCCTCTTTAAGACATACTTTGGTAAATAATTAATAAAGTAAGCCTTGGATTACAATGTTTCTAAGTACATTATTTATATTTCAAAATTATAATCACTTTATCGTTTAGAATAGTATACTAACTAATGAAACTAAGCCACAGTTCCATCAAAATCTTACCAGAGAACTTGGTCCAGTATATAGAAGGTGGGGGATGACCCCTAGCTTCACAGCTCACAGTAAGTGAACCATTAAGGAGCACGGCGGTATCTGAAGGCTCTATCTGCCAGTATGGTGGAACTGAAATAAAAGGTTTAATTATCCTCTCGTCTATAAAGGATGGCAACTGACAAAAGGCTATTGAATCCGTTTCGAGGCTTTGTTTTGTATTAACTTTAGTTTCTGAGTAGCTAGGAAGTCATAGATAGTTTTGAATATCGGTTGGTGATCTTGGTCTTCTACTGCAACATTGTATATAAACAGTAAATTATTGACTTATTTAGACCTTTTACTTAGTATTTCAATGTTGTACATGGGTTGTAAATGATAATAAAATTAACGGCCATTTTACATACGCCTTTTTAAAAACCAGCCTTCTTTACTGGGGGCACAATACCGTGGCCCCAGCCAGTATCAAATTATATTATATTTAGTCAGTCTGTGTCACCTATGCTTAAAACTCATATCATAAAATGTGTGCTATAAGGAAACAATAGCCCAGTTATCCAAAAGTATAAAAGGTACAATGAGTAAGCTTTTATCCGACAACGTTGAACAGAATTTGCTTATCTTGACGAGGGTCTAGCAATTTACCTTTGATGGCCAGTTCAGCGGACATGTTCGCTTTTCCAGCAGTGTTGGTGACAACACAAGTATAGATCCCGCTGTGTGCTGCAGTCAAACTTTTGAATAGAAGCATGCTGTAAAACTCTGCTCCTCTTTCATCCACCTATGGTTACAAAATATTACTTATTTATTCAAAGGTATATTTGATTGACATTTCATAATATTACTGTCTGAAATAAAAAGGGCGTGGACCTTATCATATACCTAAATCAACCTCATTTTATTTGCTCTGGCAAATCATATGTATTTCATTTCAGCTTTAAGGTAAATACTGAAAATAGTGTCGGTGCATTTATATAATTATTTTAATTTCAATTTTCTTTATCACATGCGATTTGAAAACGCATTTTTTTGTTTTTTATTCACAACACATTGTTTTTTATATTATGTACATCTATCTGATCATACCTGAAGAGCACTGGAGATAGGCATCTGATCCTTCAACCAGGAAAAGTACACAGGCATGTCGCCAGACGTTACAGTACATGTTAGTTGTGAGCGATCACCAGCTCTCAGACCAGGAGGGAACACGATGGGAGACAGCACTGGCGGTGAAACCACAGTCACTTGTACCTATGACAAAAGTTGTAGGACTAAAAATTTGCTCTGGAAAATCTAAAATTAACAGCAGGTGAGCAATGTAAGTTCGCTTTCCAACCAAAATCAGACCCAACCGTGTTGCAAATTGGGTACCGCCGCCTTATAGAACACACCACCATAAATGAGGACAACAATAGCGATCTTTTTTAAAAGTGGGAAAGCCATGGGTCTTTACTAGACTGATACCACGGCTTCACTGTAAACTGACGTGACATAAACGGATCCCTCCCCAATCTCTAAATCCCTAATCACAAAAAACCAAATACAAAATGATCCGATCACTGACCATTGCTCTAGTCTGTACAACGATTTAACCAAGAAGACAGTCTATTCATTATGACAAAATTAATCTCAAAGGTAAACTAATCAATTGTTTAAGTTAAATATAAATCCTTTGCAAGCATTATTATAGACAATAGAGGTTTGTTTACAAGCGAAAGTTTTGGCTAAGTTTGAACAGTATTGTTTGGAAGTTAGGAAGTAGAAGAAAAGTATTCCAAGAGGAAGGAAAATTCACGATCATTGTTAAAGTAGAGCATAGTTATGTTTCCATTTATATGCGATATGGTCGTTCTGACAAACGACCAAACGGATCATCTGAGGTTAAGCAATTATTGCTTACCATCAGACGCCATTCATTAACATCTTCAATGCGAGAGCAGTTGCACCTCTGGACTTTTAGGGATTACGGATTTATGAGTAGGAAGAATTAAGCCTCCAGCACTTACACGGAGATGCACAACGCAAGCATTACTTCTCGTCAGTTTTCTTTAAGGTCGTGGTATAACTTCTGACGAGCTCCCCCATTCATGTCGAAAGTTGGCCCTCCTACACCTTGTATATGGCTATTTCATTCTGGTTTCAAATGTTATTTCATTCGATATGGTAATGTACTAATAAAAAAGTGACATGAAGGAAATAAATTCTGTCTGCAAATTACAAAACATTATAAATTAGGCATTTTGTATACAACACTTGACAATTACATCACTTAAGGTCATTAGCCTAGTAGTTCAGAGTCATCGTAGTCTTCGTTCACAAGAAGTATCACAAAATAAAATACGTTAGTGACGATACAGAACATTACCAATTTTATTTTACAAATATCTTCCATGAAACGTGTTCTTGATGATATAATTACTTATTATGTACAAACACAGACAAACAGATGGCAGATATGCCATAACAGTTTCATTCCTGAACATTCCTTTACAACTTTTAGGAAAACCTTACTAAAAATATCAACTTCCTTACAACATTGGTACGCACAGTGTACACAAGTAATAATAATATCAATAAGGATAACGGAAAAACGGATAAAAATACTCATATAACAAGAAGATTCAGCGTAATAAAATAAGTGAAGTATAAAATGAGATGTAGTAAGTTCATCCCCCAAGATAAGTGGGTCGAGTCTAACGTTGGATACAGACGAACGACTTTTTTGTTACCATCTCGAGCGATTTTGTTGCTCTCGGGCTTAACTTGTAAATTCACTAAGACTACACATAGGAGATGTCATAATATCCAGCCAGGGTTGCAAATGCATGTTCTGTTATATACCGGGACTCGGCGCAGGACGGAACGACGATGTTTTCAGTCAGTAAGAGTCTGACACTCCCTCTTGCCCCGCCCAGGGAGAAGTAACTTCATGACTCAAGAAAAGAGAAGAAACTATGTATGTGTTTATGTTTCTGCGCACATTTTGCAGCAGTAATTAGTTTTCTTGATAAATTTTTACGTTTAGTTTTCCAAGAAGTATATCGTCCTCCTATACTATAAGGTCAATAAAGAAACCCGGTTAACCAATCGTGATACCTAGAACAGTTTCTGTTTTGACCAGTTAAAAGTTCGTAAATATATCACGGTCATTTAATACCTACGACGACGAAAAATTTGGTTTAGGGCTCCGAATAAACCTGCGACTCCATACTGTCAAAAACCTCAAAAGTTGCTGGCGATTTTAAAGTCGTACGTCTGGTCTAAACCTAACACAAAGTTTTCAGAAAATGATTGAAAGTGAACAATGAATATTTTACGGTGCCCATATTTTGCCGGATGATACGTAAAATAGTTTTAAAGCATAATAAAATACGGCATCATCATAATATAAAATGGTTACAGTAAAGTAGCTGTCATTTTCACAAGTACAAAGTATGCATAATGTAAGTCGTTGGTACATAAAACTTGTCACAAGTCTTCAAATAATACATATTTGAGTAGAAATTTATTCATCTTTAATAAGTTTTCAATTAATATCTTGTCAATGTCTCATTACTTAAAAGGTGGTGCATCACTAACTTGGTATGACTACCAAGATAAAAAGTTTAGTTTTTTTTTTTGCATAAGGTCATATTCTGAAACTCACAATAATCTGGATTTTCCTCCTTTTATTACTATATTCTGAGACTACGATAAAAAAAAGGAAAAAAAGTGTGTGGGAGAGCCAACCTAGGCACGAATGGATAGGCTCGACCGGAGTTACACCAATGCCCCACAGAAAAACGGCGTGAAATAACCACAGCTTTGTAACTCCTTTGGTGTTGCGGGTGACCATGGGAGGCACCGATTGCTTACCACCAGGTAATCGGATTGCAACTTTACCGAACTAATTCTTTAAAACAAAAATTTTCTGGAAAAGCTTACTTTTCTACATGTCATACCTATTTTGTGCATTGCGTTTATCATGCTAAAATATTTCAGAGTGCAACATTAAAATTATCTTCACATATAGCGGACAATTCCTAAAATATAATGCAAATTTATGAGTGAATAAATATGTTTATACGGTGTTTCCTAGCTTACACTAAGAGCGCATCGTTGCACCACAAGATGTCCATTTCAAAGTAAAGAGGATTTGTAAAATTAGAAAATTTATTTTTAAAATATTGAGTTTTTTTTATATTTTTGTGAAAGGCATGTCAAATTTAGTAACAATTTCAGATTTTTTACTAAATTCTTTCTCCATCCCACACAACCCTTGACTTAATTTCTTTCCTGAAAAAATAGTCCTATCTTGGATATTAGTAATAGTTAATTGACTTTTATATGTAAGATGTTTTGACTTCAACCGAAATGATACCGCGGTCTCACAGAATAATGGCGTGGAACGCTTGCATTATGTTTGTCGATTTGGCGTCGATATGTTCATTTGCCAACCAATCACATAACATAAAAATCTAGGTAACAAATTGTAAACAAGATTTACGTCTAACAAAAATATATTGTAATTTGAACACGACTTTATCCCCAAAGACTTTAGACTAGACTTTATTCAACAAAATAATTAAAGTATTTACCTCTCTCCTAGCCAGTTCCCCTCCTGGTGTGAGCACAGAGCACGTCCAGCTTCCTTTGTCCCTGTTCCGATCGACGTTTGTGATCGTGAGCTGTCCATCCATCTGCTGGTATCGAGGATCGGTACCCGCACCGCCCTCCCATTTCACTGAACTAGATAAATAAAAATACATTTGTTTAGCTTTTCAATTGTTTTTTAACGGTTATGGAAAGTAAAATGATGATGGCGAGCTGTGAAAATTTTAAATCGATATAATCAATCAATAATAAATAAATATCAGACTATCTACAGACGTCTTCTTTATTTTGGTGTGTAAGACTATAAACAGTACTTTGATAAAATTAATTTCAAATTAGGAATGCAAAGACGCTACGTCACTGTTCATTATAAAATATGTATGTACTTACATACTACATCATGACGTCATACTACATGTATATTTCAAATTAATATATTGTCGATATTCGATTTCATGAGAACAGAAAAAAAACGTGTCTATTGTTTTTAATTATTTTAAAATAGACATTAAAATAAAAATACGTTATTAATTCATCAAACCCCAAGCGAACGCAAACCTATTGTTCTTTTATTATGTCTCGAATTACCAAGATGAAAAGGTTGAAAGTTGATAGGATGATATAGGTTGACGTTCTTCGCTTATAATGCACCACCTTATATTATCTACTCCTATAACATGAATGTTACGTGTACCTCATATGTACCAACATGAACATAGCCCCGAGTCATATTTCAAGTATTAAAGTGAATTGCAGTTTGATCGAATTATATCTGTTCGAGATTGTAAAATCGAAGATTTCTCCTGGGTACAATACAAGGCGAATTACCTATAATAGAAGCTGCAGGAACATTTTATAAACAGCTTTATTGATATAGGATTTCCTTGTCCATATTTATTAGTAATCAAAGTCAAAACATTTATTTTTCAACGCCAAACAAACTAAAAAAATTATCAAGAAGTTCTACGTACTGTGTGTAAAGGTTATGGTAATGGACAATTCATGTCTAAGGTTGTTCATGACCAAGGGCTTGTTTCAATAATGTCTGTAATAAATGACGACCCCTTTGTTCTTACTCCGTGGACGACACCTATATTTATACTTCCACGAAAACGAAAGACATAACACTGAAAAGTGGCTCCACTAGTAACAGTAGCAATTAGCCAAATGTAATGAAGACGAATATACATACATAATACTTATACAAAATTTTACTGATAAACTAAACTGCAGACACACATGTATGTTATATGTAGGTAGAATACAAAAATATCTGAAGACTGAAGCCCAGTGTAGGTAATCATAATATCAAGTAGATATGGTCGTGACCCAAGTTCGCCCAATGTTATTCCGTGCCTCGCCTTTCAATGCGACCCATACATTTTGTATAAAGCCAATGTTGTAAGTGAAATTTTATGGTCACCACTATAAAACACTTTTTATATTGGACGACCGACTTTTGCTTGAAACTTTGTCTTTTGAGAATATTTTTAAAGATTATCACATCACATCATCACGTTATTAAGTACCTCTTCTCATACGGAGAAGGTTTAAGCATTCATCTCAAGGCGTATTTGCGATTTCAAACTTATTATTCGATAGAAGTCCATGTCCTGCCTGGCCTGGCTGGCCTGTAGCTTTTCTAGTTTGGAATCAACACAAATAAGAACTTTACAGGGATAAAATATTTTTTTTTTTTTTTGTTCAAAAAAGGCTGTTTGTCACTTTTTGATATTTATTTTAATCTATTAAACCTATTAGTTAAGCCTTCTTTCGGCTGAACTCTTTATTTGTGGCCTAAACTGCTTAAACGTAAATATGTAAGAAGAAGATAATTCTGTATTTCAGTTTAAATGCCTACTCGTACATGGAAGAACGGAATGATGTGATGTGATAAGAATAGAATACTCCCATCATCATCTTCTACGGGATAATTCCCACTACTCATATTAAATAATAGAGAAAACTGTTAAACAATAAAAAGATTTATTTTTAATTTATTGATACTGTTTAATGTCGTGGTGGCCCCGAGGTTAAGGAACCCGCTTCTCACGCATGAAGGTGTGGGTTCGAAACCTGGTAAGTACCAATGTGACTTTTTCCGAGTTATACTAATATGTACTTTCTATGATTATTTAGACACCGCTGACATACGTGGTGTACGTAAACATCGTGAGGAAATCTGGACTTATAATTTCTAATCATTAGTTTGAAATCGCCAACCCGCATTGAGCAAGCGTGGTGATTAATGCTCTAACCTTCTCTGTATGAGAAGAGGCCTTTGCTCAGCAATGGGCACTTATAGGCTGATGATAATAATGACTGTTTACGCGCATAAAAATCCCATACTGACTTGAAACTAGTCAAAGTATTTCTCGTCTCGTTCACGTTAATAATTTATTGTGTTTCACGATAGTTACTATAGTTACTATAAAAATAGGATTGGAAACAAATCATTCTTACGAGTCTACACGTGTCTTCTTAATCGAACTATCTGTATCCTAAATAAACATTAAAGCCTTTCAATAAAATCACCTAAGAAGCTTCGCTAGATAACTATTTCTTTGAAGTATACTTACTCTATTGGAAATCCGTAGTAGGGGCACCAAATGGTCACTTCAGAACCCGCGACAGCTTTCACGAGACTCATAGCCCTGATGTATGGGGGACCTATGTAAATCCGATAATAATATTTACCGAGCAATCCGTAAAATAATACTTATCTTTATTTAGGATAGAAAAACAAACAGAAAATGTGTAAATAAGAATACTGCGGTAAGCAAAAATTACAATTTATGGCTGCACAAGTATAATAAGATTTGAGTACTGTTTTGTTTATTCTGTACTTTTATACCGCACTTCTTCAATGTAGAAAGGATCGTAAATAATATAATAGCAAGGCCTGAAAATGTTTTATGTAACATATTTTATTGTCACAATAAAATAAATTGATTTGTTGATTGTGGACATTTATTTCTGAATTGCTCTGTGGCTGTGTCTTGATGTGCGTAACACTCGGCGTAATGTTAGATAATAAATATCCAATAATTCTTGGTAAAAAAAGTTACGACTCAAGTCTAATAATACAGAGTCAAAGTAATTATGTATTTAATTTTTATATTCTTGTCTTACTAATATAATAAACAGACAAAGTAAATCATTCATAAATATTCACTTATGAATAATTCTTTCATAAATATAAATATAAATTTATGAACCATTCCTAAAAATAATTTTCTATTATTATAAAAAATAAAATAAAAATTATTACCGTAAACGTTGAGTCGAGCGGCATGAGCGACGCTACCATGTGTGTTGGTAGCCCTACACTCGTACCGGCCGCCATGTTCCACCCTCGCACTGTTCACCGATAGGGTTGACAACACGTAGTTATTCCCAGAACCCAATCCCGTGGGACTGCTCTCCCGTCCTTCCGTTATTACAGCCCTGCGATCGAATATCATCAAATACACTATACAAGGTGTTGCAGTATAAATACGTATACAAAATGCAATATGTGTCCTTTACTTAAAGAATTAAAATAAGTAGTTAGTTAAATGGTGTGAACAAACTATGTAACTATGTAATTATGCGAGCCTTAGAAATGTTAAGAAGTAAAATATCGAAGATTTGTACCTATTACACTTTTATACTCATTATTTTTATTTTAAGCGGAAACTTATGTAGTAACATAATAACTACACTCTTTTGTGCTTAAGGATAGCACAAAGGGTTTCCGACACATCCTGTAGACACACAAAAGACTTGTAAGTTCCAGATAATATCAGATTTTTGTCAGTCATAAAATGTAATGACGGTATGGATATCCAATTTAGGAGTTTCGATTTTCATTTATTTAGTAGCGTGATAAGGTAAATATTGAAATAAGTCGTTATTCTTATTATAAGTGTCATGAATGATAAACGATTACCCATCTATTTCTTATATTCTATCTATTGAGAAAAGGTTGTATGAAAACCTTTGCGCAGTGTTTATTTAGAACCTATTAGAAACTTCGGCATCACAATGGGTACACAAACATGGTAAAAATCAAAATTATCTTGGTCTCAGTTTGTATGATCTTGCCTCTATTAAACAGTCAACTTATACTGGTTTTACATTTTGTTGCCAACTTGAAAAAATCTCATGTTATTATCCTGTAATCTTGAAACTGATAGTAGTACTGATACCTATCGAATATTTCAAACAATTGAGATCCCGGTCGCACACACCTAAATAATCAGCAAATTTTATATAATAAGAACCGGCTCAACAAGCCACAATTGTGGTTGTGTCCTGCGCCTGGTTTTAATCCAATAATATTTTTTATACGTAAAACCCATTGTTATTTATACCTAAGCTGTAATTTGTCGAAATGAAAAACCACAACAGACAAAGCATTTCGTGTTATAGCATATACCAATAAAAAACTAAATTACATAACTATTGATAATTTTATTTAATATTGGCTGCATTTAGAACTTTAAAATATGTAGGTGTTATGAAACCAAGCCTTGTAAACAATGGAATCCAGAATGCCTTTATAAAGAGGTTCTAACACTTACCCATGATGACTAGGAATGGGTTGTCCATCCAGTGACCATCGAAACCGAGGAGGTGGTTCACCAACGGCCGAACATTTTAATGCAACCTGAGACCCTGGCTGCACTGCCTGCTCTATAAATGTGTACACCAGCTCCGGTCGGGAATCTAAGAAAAAAAACATTTTGATAAAAATATTCAAGAACTGTTGATATACAACTACATAAACAAAATTATATTTAGCAACGATTACAAAAACGTAACATAATAATAATAACGCGTCCAGATCTGACAGATGCGAAATTTGCGAAACGCTTCGCTCGCGAGAATATCGCGAACTGTGCAGGCGAAAAGTATTGGGACCCACATTTAATTAAATTCTTCAACTGTACCTACATTAGTTATAAAAAAGAAACAAAAGACTTCTTTTTATACCAAAAAGGAATTACATATGTGTTGTTTTAACAGGCAGGTGATCGTTTTCTCTTGAGCCTAAAGTCAGTGAAAATAATCTTAATATACAAACAGCATAAGAACTAGTATTCCATGAAGTATATTATAAAGGTATAAAACTTCATGTACACATGAACTAGTCTATCTTTGCGCAGAAACTGGAACGTGCCACAATATAGATACAAAGGTTAAAAAAAGAAACATACCTGGAGAACGTTTTAACCGTTTTCGTTTGAAAGAACGAACCACGCCAGCTTCCCGCACTAACGAGCACTGGGTAACTGAAATATATAAACTAGGTGAATGCTGTGTAATGCAAAAACATATCGCCTTATGTAAGCTTTGTTGTTACTCTGTTTCTTTTGAAATGAAGTGTAAGTATAAGGAAGTAAGGTTGAAAGTCAATTTGATTGTTATAATTTTCATGGGATTGGTGCTAAAACGCGAATTCTTCGGAGTTAATTCTTTTTTTTAAATCGTTGTCCCCATACTTGGATTTTTTTTCCTATATCGTGGGTGAGTTTACAAAAAAAATATTTCACATACACACCACACCCAGACCCGGATGTGATTTGTGGATCACGCAAAGAGTTGTTCCGTGCTAGAATCGAACCCGCGACACGTTGCACGGCAGCTCGTTGCCCAGCCCCCGCGCCAACCGTGCAGTCAATATTGTAATATTTTTATAGTGCGTCATGGTTTTGTTTGAATCACTTTAAAATTTCGTGTCTTGTTTTAAAAGTCGCAACTATTCAGTTAATGTGACAGAAGCATGGAGGTATTATTACAATTTAAATTTAGAAACTTTTAGGACGAACGGAAGGCACGATTAATTCGAACATACGAGTTAAAAATCACTCAATTTTTACGTTATACTTAAGTAGAAAATATCCTCATACCTTTGAACGTTTTATGTGTTGCACATCCTTTATTATATTGTCTAAAAAAATAATGATCACTTAACATTTTAATCAGTTTTCTTTTTTGAGGAAGAAAAATCGTCATATGACTTCGTGAGGCGAGACTGTCAGTCAGACTCTTACTGACTAAAAACCACTTGGTTTCTTCTCCTATTTCAGCCAGGGGTCGCGATACCATATTTCGCTTGACCCGCAAACCTCGCAAGTAGTAATTACACACATACACCAATTAGTTTAAACAAACAGAATCATTATTATATAGCGAAAATTCCTTTTCCTTACAACGAACCTAACAAAATGTTATTTTTCTCACATAATTAAACAAATTTAAAAGCCCCGAACAGCAATAAAGGGCAATTGTCGTTACACAGAGCAATAAAGGTAATATTTGTATAAAATTGTGCAAATAATGGTGTAATTGCACAAACACTGACATAGCTTTGTTGGTCCCTAGAGGGCGCCTCATGTTACGTCCAACCACGATACTCCTGCAGCCGTATCGTCACGGTTGCTGCGTTTAACAGAGTGAGCAGATATAGTTAATTTAGTGTTGTTTAATTACCTTATTAATCTTTGCTCTGTTTGGGAGACCGCATTCCTATGAGCGTTTTTAGTAATTTTTATGTAAGTAGGTATTTTTTATTTACTTTCAAATTTATATCCATAAACAAATTAATCCTAAAACCAATGTAAACATACGGTGGATTGCGGTCCTTAAAACTCTTCCGCTCTCTTCTTGATTTCCGAAAATTTGCATAAAAAGATCTCGATTGATTTTAATTGTTAACCTAAATTCAATAAATCTAATCCAAATATCAAATTTTTTATCAGTAGAGAAAAGATTAAGAATCTTTTCACGCTCTCTGAAATGATGCCTAGAGTTAAGAAATAAATCTTATCTATGCACAGATTAGTTAATTAAAAAATGATAGAAATACAACGCTGTCTCTCTCTTCATACATCAAATGGGATCTTATTCTTTACTAACACGTAATAGAATATATTTTCCTAAAACCTCTATACCTTTCAATACACATCAAGCCAAATGCTTAAGGAAAATATTTGTATATAATTCTTGAGAGCAAGTACAAAATGTAAGTAGGTTACACGTTTTTATATGTTCTATAGTTGGCTATTCATCTTTGTAATGGAATTTCTAAGAGCTTTGTCGGTGACAATGTTTATTTTCGATAAACAAAATGGAAACAGAATTCTTCACTTGTAGGTATTGTAAATGGTGTAATGTATACTGTAAATAAAGTTAGACTAGCTACTCCCGCGCTGTTTCACTCGCTGCTCGGCTCCATTTGACTGTAGCGTGATGTTTTATAGCCTATAGCATTCAGGAACATTGTATCTATCAATAAGTGAAAGAATTTTGGGAATCCGACCAGTGGTTCCAAAGATTAGCCCCTACATACAAACTTACAAATTTTACCTCTTTATAATATTTGTATAGATTAAAGTGATACGTACATAATAATATAACATGTCGTAACCAACGCCGCCTAGCTTAACAAACCTGACGGCCTATAAAAAAATACAATTTTAGTACTAGGTTTTTTTTAGAAATGTATGTTAATATTTCTTTGTTTCTTTTCTTTTCCCTGCCTTGGGTGGAGCAAGAGGAGATATCAGACTGTTACTGACTAAACACAACCCTGTTCGTTCTTCTGCTACGGTTCGGGACCGTGGCTGAGCCGGTTTTGAGCTTGCACTCGTTAATGCAACATTTAGCTATTAAACTGTACGGCTAAGAATTCGGGTTCTAGTCATTCAGTTGGCTGCAATACACGTGTAACGCATACCTTTGAAATCCAGAAATAGAACATAAAAATGCACAAAGTCAGGAAACTAGCAATAAAAAAAGAAATGTGTTTTGGTTTCAAATAACAATTCCAAATTTCAGACTAGGACTAGGTTTTTTATAAAATGTTGTATTTCGTAACCCATGATACTCATTACCTTATGGCCAAACCCAACAGATGGCGCGCTCATGATTGGACACTTACAAACAAAAAAAAATTGCATGTGTACATAATCTAACCTTAATATATGGTATAAAAATAAAACCCATCTATGATAATGTAATAATAACAAGATAAGTACGTGCCTGAAATTGCCTTAAGGTTACATAAAACCTCAAAAACAAAAGGACAACATTTTAAAACAGCAATGTTTAGACGCAACACAAAAAAAAACACCTACAAAATTTATGACGAACATATCTAAAAAGCACATGAGACAGTAAAACTAACAGTTGCTGAGCAGTATAGGCGCACACTACAGTCAGTTTCCACTGAAAAATTCACTCAGCCTCCGCGTTTTACTATCCGTATTCGTTCAGAATTTATAACACCCGTAAAATCGTAAATGCGGGCAAAAAATTTACAGCCTCGTGGAATACTGAGTCGCTGAGATAAAAAGTGGATGTATCTTACCTATGTATGTAGCCATAAAAAGTTCTAGGTGTAACTAGATAAAGAACTAAATTATCCACTACATAGTCGGCACAGCGAATTGGCAACTAATTGGTGAGTTTGATTTGCGAACGAAACCACTCTACGTATAATTATGTATTTGAGGTTTATGAGAATCATTGTTGTAAAATTCTAATTTTTAGTCTACCTGTATTATGTACGCCATATCTTTTTGTTACTTTCATTATAGTTAGGTCATGAGAATTGCGATTCATGGTGGCCCGGAGGTTAAGGCATCCACTTCTCATGCATAAGAGCGCGGGTTCGAGTACTGACGAGTACCGATATACTGTTTCAAATTTACTCAGACACAAGTAACAAAATGGCGAAAGACAAAATTCGTGAGGCAACCTGGATACTTATAATTTCCAATTATAAGTATCAAATCGCCTATCTACCCTGAGTAAGCATGGTGCGTCGTGCATGCTCAAACCTACTTATTGTGAGAAGAGGCCTTTGTTCAACAATGGGCACTTACAGGCTGATGATAATGATTAATTTTGTGTGAACGAAAAAACATTGAAAACTAGCACGCGATCGAAACTGAGGTGAAACGAGGCGGTAATTTATTAAAAAACTTATTACATATACTTATCAAAATTTGGATGATTCTGTTATTATTCCCTGCATATATAAAAGTCTGTTTGATGTAAACTTACGTTCGCTCCAAGTACAAAAGAGGCTTTAGTGCAAGGCCTTGTAGTCACCGGAACTGATGCAATATTGGCTCTTTGATTTTGAATTACCAAGTAGGTTCGCACTAAGTAGGTCGCAATATCATTATGTCTGGGCCCAGTAGTAAAAGGTTCACTTCCTGCACCGGACTAACAAGATGGGACAAACTTGTTCTGTGTTCATATTGTTCAAGTCAAAGCTAATATCCTGTTATTTTGATGAGGGTACCTATTATAAATAAACATAACTACGAAATCATTTCTTTTTTGCTTTATTTCCCTCCTAAATCACTTCGACCAATAACCAACTATACTCCTAAAAAGATCTCAATTTTCGTTATCGGAAATAAAAATTGTAAGTAAGCAACCTGAACTAACTTTTATGAGAATATTTGCTTAACAGACTCGATTCTAACACGATTCCTTTATAATAAATGTAAACGTGACGAAATTCAGCCAAAATATTCGATCAAAGCTAAAACACAAATAGGTTATTCACAAAGCGAAGGGGTTTTGGCGAAAAAACCAACTGGCCTCATAGTTACCCACACCACCGGCCAGTGACACCCACCCCCACAAAGATGGATGCCAACGCGGCAAATATCCGGCGAACTATTCCAATTTGAAAAGTTTCCTTTTGG